TACTGGTGTTCACTATCGGCCATTTTCAAGACCAGCGCGAAACGGGATATCTGGAAATAGACAGAGAACTTGTCACTGAATAAGGCATAAGATAAATATGTTCGTTCGGATTTTTATACATCCGGGGTGGGTTAGCCAACCAGGATTAACCCAAGATAAGTCAGTACGTTCATCGAGGAGCTGTCTACTTTATTTCCATTGGGGTCCTTATCTTGTCCCCAGTGGATGAGACCACACCAGTCCGACTAATCCTCCATCAGGTGACCTATTTGCTGCTTGGTGAAACTGGTATCAACAGGTTGGGAAGGAAACGTGTCGCGAAAGTGTCTTAAGAGAAAAAAACTTTTTTGTTTCTTTTTATGGATGGGAGAATGGTTTTTGTTTCCTATCCTCTTCATAACTCTGTCGAACTGTCGGTTGTTATGCCTCCCTCGCGCACACACTTCCTACTGTTACCCCTCTTGCCCTGGGCCACAGTGATTTCACAAGGGCTAACTGGAAGGGAATCCGTCATCAGTGGCAAGAGGGCCTTGCACACTCCCTCTCTTCTTCGGCGTTTGGCTCTGTCCGAACTTTTAATGGCCCCTGCCCTTGGGCTCGCCATCCCAACCACTCGGTGGACGTTGTACTGACTCGCCTTCGAGTCGGGCACTCGCGACTGGTGGCTCATCTATATCGCCTTTGGATGACGGACTCTCCGTACTGCCAGTGGTGTCCCTCACAGCTTGAGATGGTGGAACACTTCCTGCTGTGGTGCCCACGTTATCACTCTGCACGGACTACTCTCCGTGCGGCCTTGCGCACACTTGGGGTGAACACTTTCACTCTACCTGTCCTCCTCAACGGGGAGGGGTTTTGCCCTCTGGACCATCAGGAGATATTGGCTTGTTCCTGCTCCTTCCTGGTGGCTTCAGGACGTATCAGAGACATATGATATTAGTCAAGACATTCTTCCACTTTGGTCGATATTCCCTCTCCTAGCACTGGACGGCCGGGCTCGATACGGCGTATGCTGTCAGTGGCCCTGAAGCCCCAACAGAAGAAGAAGAAGATTCATTCTGTAGCATTTAACATGTATTATATTATTTATATCGTTTCTTATGTCATATTAGATCAATTGTGATAGGCAAATAAGCTGTAGTGTTGATATTAGCGTAATAATAAAGCATATTCTCCTGCTTCATGAGACTGAGCTCATGGCAACCGACAGTGGCTTCAAAGCCACCTTATCTTTAATGGATAATGTACTGTGTTGGTGCTTTACATAATGAGAAGCATTTCTTTTATTCATTGGAAAAATGGCTAGGGCTAAAAGTAAGCAGGTTAAAACAATAAATGGAGAAAAAGAAATTGGAATGACTTATGCAGCAAGTAGCGCCACCAAACAGTACCAGCAGGTTAGTGTGGTGACCCTGGAAATTTGAAATTATGCTAGCCAAAATAGTGCCGAATAACTGAAGGAACCGAATAACTGATTGCCGGATTTGTGATGGCGGACCTGTATTAGGAATGGAACTCCGTCATAAAGTGAGGAGAGGTTGTACAGTACACACAATACTTACCTTAAAATATTTATTGTAGGAAGTTTGAATAAATAAAGAATTAGTATACAGTGGACCCCCGCATACCGTTGGCATCACATAACGTTAAATCCGCATACCGATACATTTTATCGCTAAGATTTTGCCTCGCATACCGCTAAAAAACCCGCTCAACGCTATTCATCCGAGACGCGTCTAATGTGCGGCCTGAGCCAGCCTCACATGTTCCACCGGTGACATTGTTTACCACCCAGCCTCCACAGTAACATCCAAGCATACAATCGGAACATTTCGTATTATTACAGTGTTTTTGGTGATTTTATCTGCAAAATAAGTGACCATGGGCCCCAAGAAAGCTTCTAGTGCCAACCCTGTGGTCAAAAGGGTGAGAAATATTATCGAAATACTGTGGTACCATGGTCAACTGCTGATGCTGCTGCTGCTGTAGCACTGTCAGCTGCTGCTGCTGCTGTACCACTGTCAGCTGCTGCTGCTGCTGTAGTACCGTCTGCTGCTGCTGTAGCAACGTCTGCTGCTGCTGTAGCACTGTCAGCTGCTGCTGTAGCACTGTCAGCTGCTGCTGGCTGCTGTAGCACTGTCAGCTGCTGCTGCTGCTGTACCACCGTCAGCTGCTGCTGCTGCTGCTGTAGTACCGTCTGCTGCTGCTGTAGCACCATCTGCTGCTGTTGTAGCACTGTCAGCTGCTGCTGTAGCACTGTCAGCTGCTGCTGCTGCTGTAGCACCGTCAGCTGCTGTTGTAGCACTGTCAGCTACTGCTGTAGCACTGTCAGCTGCTGCTGCTGCTGTAGCACTGTCAGCTGCTGCTGCTGTAGCACTGTCTGCTGCTGCTGTAGCACTGTCAGCTGCTGCTGTAGCACTGTCAGCTGCTGCTGCTGTAGCACCGTTGTTGGTGTGGCTTATTGAGAATACCAAGAAACAATTAACCCCAGAGGGTTAGCCACCCAGGATAACCCAAAAAAATCAGTGTCATCGAAGACTGTCTAACTTATTTCCATTGGGGTCCTTAATCTTGTCTCCCAGGATGCAACCCACACCAGTCGACTAACACCCAGGTGAACAGGGAAAAATGCCTGGAACTAGTGCTCATATTGGTGAATTTAAAGCCAGCAAAGGTTGGTTTGAGAGATTTAAGAATCGTAGTGGCATACACAGTGTGATAAGGCCTGTTCTGGAAGAAAATGCCAAACAGGACCTACAGTACTCAGGAGGAAAAGGCACTCCCAGGACACAGTGTCTCATCAGTCATTGCTGCATCTTCAATAAAGGTAAGTGTCATTTATTCTTCATGCACAATATATATTGTGCATGTACTACTCTACTATTGTGCATGTATCCTTCTCTTTGTGTGTAGGAAAATGTATATTTCAAGTGGTAAAATTTTTTTTTCATACTTTTGGGTGTCTTGCCCAGGGCAAGAGGGGTAACAGTAGGAAGTGTGTGCGCGAGGGAGGCATAACACCGAGCAGTTCGACAGAGTTATGAAGAGGATATGGATAATATGGAATGTACCGAATGTATCCTTAGATGCGCGCACACTGGCTGGCTTGTAAACACTGCCACACACGGGGCAGTTCAGGCCACATGTGGACACGTCTCGTATGAATCACATCGCATACCGGGTTTTGTAACGGGAACCGAGGCAAATTTTTGGCGATATAATGCATCGGCTACCGGATTTATCAGATACCGATAGCATCGTGAACCGGGGGTCCTCTGTACTCATAAATTCTAGCGGCTTCAAATCAAGCAGGAGAAAGCTGGTAGGCCCACATGTGAGAGAATGGGTCTGTGTGATCAGTGTGCACCATATAAAAAAATCCTGCATCACACAGTGCATAATGAGAAAAAAAAAACTCCGACCATTTTTTTTTTTAATTAAAATGCTGACTTTGTGGTTTATTTTCGTATAGTATTTATGGTTGTATTCTCGTTTTCTTGGTCTCATTTGATAAAATGGAAAACATTTTATAGAAATAGAGGTGATGTTGATTGGTTTTATTATGAAAATAACCTTGAAATGGAGCTCAAAGTAGGGGAAATGTTTGATTATTGCCGATGTTCCAAAGTAAACCAGTGATGTCATTTTCCAATAAATGTCCAAGTAGCCATTCTAATATGCAGTCATGAATGGTTTGACATTGTTTATACAATTTTTACAATATTGCAGTAGTCTGCATAACAGTAAATCTTCTATTTTTTTGAATAAAAATAAAAATTCAAAATAGAAAGCAAGAGTAATATCAGAGGGACCTGGAGACGTGACTGATGAACAAAGAAAATTTTATTTTAGAGCCAGGAATGTCTGCATTGTTAATTCTGGACCCTATTTTGAAATTGTCATATATTTTAATTTTCATGAAATTGGCCAAATTGCCAATTTCTGACCACGTTATTTGGTAGTTGAAATCAGTAAATGTTCAGTTTCTTGTACTCATTTGATAGAAAAAATGGAGTTCTAAAGAAATAGTTATGAGTTTGGTCGACTGGAACAATGGAATTAGCCGAAAATAGGGCTCAAAGTAGGCAAAATCGCCGATTCGTAAATATCGCTGAGGTCGCTAACATCGTGAGAGCGTAATTCCATCAGTTTTCCATCAAATTTCGTTCTTTTGGTGTCATTACAATCGGGAAAAGATTCTCTATCATTTCATAAGGAAAATAATTTTTTTTTTCAGAAATTTTGTGACACCAGGAGACACCTCAGGATTGGGGGTTGTGACAGTCAAGGGGTTAAAGGAAGCTGTGTGTGCAAGGGTCCTGGACTTCCAGCAAGTATATTTGAGCGTATTAGGAGTGAGTGGAGACAAATGGTTTTTAAGACTTGATGTGCTGTTGGAGTGTGAGCAAGGTAACATTTATGAAGGGATTCAAAGAAACTGGTTAGCCAGACTTGAGTCCTGGAGTTGGAAAGTACAGTGCCTGTGCTGTAAAGCATGGCCCTCCTGTATATTGCCCTGCTTCTCCACAGACACTAATTTAACAAATAATTTACTATTGTAAAAAATTCTGGTGGGGGTAATCATTGCCATTATGCATTCTTCCCTCTAATGCCATTATCAAACTACCATATTTTCCGGCACATAAGGTGCGCTTTTTTTTCACAGTCTTGGAAAATCAGCCCGCACTTCATATGCTCAAGGTGAGGGTCAAGGGTAGACTTTGTGTTACACTTTAGCAGTTTACTAACGTTACGTTACAACTGCTTACAGACATCGTCTTATATGATCATGAGCCTTATATGCCAGGAAATACTTTAATTATCATAATTTTTATTTCGACCCTGATGGCATACCTCTATACAAAATCTAAATACATTAATTATTGCATTATTAATATTAAGCTTAAGTTTGCCCAAAATGCTCTACATACGAAGGGGCTTTCTGCATGCACACCTAAATGTCACCATCTCTGTACAAACATTGTATCATGATGAGATAAAGAATCTTTAATCTTTAATTCTTTCAGATCGCAAGTACGAGACGTTGATTTTACCAATATGTACAGTGTATATGGCATGCCAGTACCCTTTCACATCTCAATGATCAAGAACATATCACAGAGCGTGGAGGGCGACTACACTTACCTGCGTATCAACTTCTTCCATCCGGGTTCCAGCATCGGCAAGAGTGACGGTGTATTTCCCAACCCAGATGCTGTCTTCCTCAAAGAAGTGTAGGTATCTACAAATCATACCTAAACAAAAAAAATTGATTTCTTATGCTGTATAAAATTGTAGTTTACATGTAATAAAATACAGGGCTTACTCATACAGTAGGTTAGGTTCCTGGCTACTGTAGGACCCCACTTGTACACTAGGTTAGGTTCCCAGCTACTGTAAGGCCATGCTTATACTGCAGGTTAGGTTCTGGGCTTCTGCTGTAAAGTGAAAATCACTGTAAAGTGAATTACTTTTAAATGCATATAAAAGCCTGATATGTTTACACTGTCATATATTAAGTGTGCAATAGTGTTAAGCCTAAAAAATGCACATACAGTACACACATTACTTACCTTAAAATATTTTCATCCTTAGCTTATAGTGAGTGGTTTATATATTTATTATAGCAAGCATGAATAAATAAAGGGTAATTGAAAACCACTGCATTAGCAAAACACTGCAAAGTGAAGCACTGTAAAGTGAGGCCCTCCTGTCTTGTCAAACACAAGTCACTAACATGCGATGCAATTAAGGTAGACTAATACTAATGCTTACACTACTTAAGACTAGACATGGGCATTAAGTGATACAATTTTAAGTATGTATTATTACAGAAAAGAAAGGTAGTAAAAATAGTACAAATATAAGTCGTCGTCTTTTTTTTTTTTAAATGCACCGGCCATATCCCACCGAGGCAGGGTGGCCCAAAAAGAAAAACGTCTCTTTACCAATTTAATAATACATACAGGAGAAGGTGTTACAAGCACCTTGCTTCCAGCATGTTAGTCACCTCTTACGACACTCATGGCTTACAGAGGAAGAATTCTGCTTCACTTCCCATGGCTTACAGAGGAAGAATTCTGCTTCACTTCCCATGGCTTACAGAGGAAGAATTCTGCTTCACTTCCCCATGGAGACAAATACTATATGGCTTCTTTCAACAAATCGGCCGTATCCCATCAACAAGTAGTATAGTCTTTCTTTCTTTCAACACACCGTCCGTATCCCACCGAGGCAGGGTGGCCCAAAAGGAAAAACGAGTTTCTCCTTTTACATGTAGTAATTTATACAGGAGAAGGGGTTACTAGCCCTTTGCTCCTGGCATTTTAGTCGCCTCTTACAACACGCATGGCTTACGGAGGAAGGATTCTGGTCCATTTCCCCATGGAGACAAGAGGAAATAAACAAGAACAAGAACTAGAAAGAAAATAGAAGAAAACCCAGAGGGGTATGTATATATATGCTTGTACATATATGTGTAGTGTGACCTAAGTGTAAGTAGAAGTAGCAAGACGTACTTGAAATCTTGCATGTTTATGAGACAGACAAAAGACACCAGCAATCCTACCATCATGTAAAACAATTACAGGCTTTCGTTTTACACTCACTTGGCAGGACGGTAGTACCTCCCTGGGCGGTTGCTGTCTACCAACCTACTACCTAGGAACAAATATAAGTATGTATTAATAATTTACTCCATGGGGAAGTGGAACAGAATTTTTCCTCCATAAGACGTGTGTTATCAGAGGCGACTGGAATGCTGAGAATAAGGTGATAATAACATCTGTATACATTGCTAAATTTAAAAAAGATAAACTTTCATTTTTCTTTTTAGGTCACCCTGCCTCAGTAGGAGATGGCCAGTTTGTTGAAAAATCTATGTATTTAATATTTTAAACTTATTCAGTGATTTTGAGTTAATTGGGATTTCTTTAGTAGTTTCTAACTGGTTCAGTGATTTCAGGCTGTGGAATGATTATAAAAGATGGTGAAGAAACAGAGAGTAGTTAGATGAATTAGTTTTGTTTTTGTATAGATGAGTTGGTTTTGTTTGGTATATCATAGTGTTGGTGTAGTTAGGTTTGGCAGATGAGGTGATTTTTAATTATAGCTTTAAACTGATTAGCAGAGAGGAGGAGACCTTTTGCTTAGAATTTTTATATGCATAATACAGTGTAACTCTGCTGAGGAGGGGTTATTGAGGTGGTTTGGCCATTTAGAGAGGATGGAGTAAAATAGGATGACTTGGAGGGTGTATAAATCTGTAGTGGAGGGGAGGAAGGGTGGGGGTCATCCTAGGAAAGGTTTGGGGGGAGGGGGTAAAAAGGTTTTGGTTGAAAGGGGCTTGGCCCTTTACAGAGGAATGTTTGTGTTGTGTGTTTTTAGATGGGAGGGTTTTTGAGGAAAAAGGTTTTTTAGAACTTGAAAAGCTTTTGGGAGTGTGAGCGGGGTAATATTTTTAAAGGGGATTCGGGGAAAAAACCATTTTTAGCCAAAAATTGAGTCTTGGAGGGGGGAAGTAAAATGTTTCCACAAAAAAAGGAGCAGTTTGGGATTTTGGTTGTTTGGAGTGAAAATCTAAACTGTATACCTGTGCCCCTTGGGGAAAAGAATCTTTTCGTTGGAAAAAGGGTGTTTATTTTCAGGTCCCCCGCCTTGGTGGGGAGATGGCCTTGGTATTAATAAAAAATTTGACCCCCAACTGAAATAATAAAAATTTCCAATTTAATTTCGTTCCTGACACCCAGAAGTTTTTAAAAAAAAAAAAAAAAATTTTTTTTACATAAAATATAGATATGGTAAAAAACCCAATAAAAGGGGAAACATAAAAGAATAAAACATTAACACCCAATAACACTTCCCTTTACAGGGACCCCCGGTTAACGATTTTAATCCGGCAAGGGGGGCTCATCTTATGAAAAAATAATCGTTTCAAAATAAATTTTTCCCCATAAGAAATAAGGGGAAAAAAAAATTTAAAAATCCGTGCAAGAGGGCCCCCAAAAAGTATAAAAAAAAAATTTTTTTTACTACATGAAATTTTAAATTTTAATCCCCCACAAAAAACTAAAAAAAGGCTTTGCAAAAATTAAATGACATTTACTTTTTTTTAAAGGGAATTGGTGATAAATTTGATGGGAGGGAAAGGGAGAGCATTATCTTCTTACGTTTAGAAGGGGAATCCCCTTCCATTACGACTTGGGTAGCAAGCCCCTTTTTCCGGGGTTTCTTCCCTTCTTTTTTTTAAGGGCCATTTAGGACCAGCTTGGGGAGTCACTGGACCTTGTCGCACAAAAAAATCGTCCAAAGAGCTTGTACCCCCTTTCCCTTTTTACGTTTGTCAAAAAAGGGGCCAAAAACATTGTCTTTGGAAATAGCCCACCCGCAGGGCTTCCCAACAGCTTGTCAGGGTGATTTTCATCTATAAAGGTTTGCATTTTCAACCCACGTGCACAAAATTTCTTAATCTCTGGTAGGCCTTGGGATTCCACAACTGGCATGGGCCCTTCCGGGGTTTTAGCCCCAAACCCCCCAAAAATCTTTTTTAATTTCCATACTAATTCCACCCTTTTTCCCAACAGGGTTGGAAACTAGAAGCTTTTTTGGGGGCCCAGGGGCACTTATTTTCCAGAAAAGCACCGAAAATACTGTAATAAAAAGAAATTTTCCCCGATGAAAATGCTTGGATGTTACCGCAAAGGGGTTTCTGGTAAACAATTTGGGGGGGCCGGGGCGGCACATGTGAGGTGGCTGAGGGCACATTGGACGCGTCTCGGAAAGAAAATCGGTAGGGGGGTTTTTAATCGGTTCGCGGCAAAAATTTTGCCCATAAAAGTAATCGTTTTGCGGAAGAAAAAAAAAACGCTATGCGATGCCCTCGTTTTGCGGGGGGAACTGTTTTGGCGATTCTTCTTAGTGTAGGGAAAATGGAAAGGAGAGACAATTTAATTACTGTTTGGAAGGGGAATCCCCTTCCCTCAACACCTCAACCCACCAAAAGGGCTTTTTTGGGGTTACTTTTCTTTCTGTTTCTTTAAAGCCATAGGACCACCTTGAGAGTCATGGTTCCCCTTTTTTGGTTTTTTCCCCAAAAAAACTGTCCAGAGGCCTGTTTTTGGCATCTCTTTAAAACTTCCCTAAAATGGGCCCAAAACTCTGTCATGTACTTTTTCCAACCCTGGGGTTGGGAAATCCTTTTTCCCGGGGGATGTTTCCCACAAAACTTTCCAAACTTACCCCACAATTTTTAAAAATCTCCTTAATTCCTGAAGAAGGCCCTTTTTCCCTTTTCCCCCTCCCTCCCCTCTGCAGCAAGTTTTTGAGCTGCCTTTCACACTGTGTATTTCCAGTACGATTTTAAAACTCTCCAAAACCCCGCTTTGCTGGCCTTATATTTTACTACATCACCCCAGTTGCCCGGCATTTTTTTTACCAAAACGCATGGCCCAAATGCCTAGCCTTTTCACCCAAAAAAGCGCGTAAAAAAGACTATCTCTTGCTAATTGTTTTTTCGTTTATCCACACCAATAATACCTTCTTCCCGCATCTTCAAAGTATGGTGATCTCATTTTTGTCAGCATATTTACTCCCTTTGCAACAAAAAAGCTTCCTTGAAAATTTTCCTTTTTTCTTGGGGGTTAATATTGAGGGGGAATAGGCTAATAAGATAATGGAGTTGTTGGTGTTTTAAAAATTTTTTGACTAAAAATGTGTATCTAAAAAAACACTTCAAGACACTGCAAAAACATTACAAAAAAAAACTATAAAGATAAATGCACAAACATTCATAAGCATACAAAAAAAGGGGGAATTGCAGAAAAACTACAGTAGTCCTCGACTTTAAAAACACATTAAGAATCTTCTGTATTATGTATAATATCATTATTGTGTATATCATTATTATATCATTATTGTGTATATCATTATTATATATTATTATACACAATTCATGAGGTTCCCAATGTGTTTGTAAGTCAAGGACTTGCTGTATAAGAGTACTGCAAAAAACATTACATAAATACTACAAAAACACTGTAAAAAAACACTATAAAAACAGTATGGCCAGTTTATTTGCTGTTGTGTCATGGTAATTTGTTTGGACAGGACGTACCGTAGTACAAACACTAAGGAACCCGGGGAACTGTCCGCTCCATCCTCCAACCTCAACACAGCGTTCCGACTCATTAACCCGTAAACGGTCCAAGCAGATCTACGTTCACATGTGTAGTGCTACAAAAGTAGATCTACGTTTTTTTTACATATTTTCAAATATAACCAAAAAAAAAGTAGATCTACTTTTTTTACATACTTTCAAATGTTTGAAAAAAAACTTATAATATATATACGTTTTGGACCGTTTACGGAGATTAAGGATCAAGGTGCAGAAAAAAATTCAAGACTGGGAAGCCGAGAAGGGAGAAGGAAAAGGAAGATCTGGTCAAACAAGACACACTCATTGTATCAAACAACAAGTCGAACCCTAAGTTGAAGGACCTGTATATTCGTCCAAACATTGTCCAGAAGAGAATTAATGGCACTTTGGAAAGCTACATACGACAGGTTTCAGGGTGAGTGGCAGCAATTTTTCCAGAGGTTTTTAAATGGCAATGGCACTTTACTCTTTTGTTTTTTTCTTTTTAATCACCTGCCTTAGTGGGAAATGGCTGGTTTTGTATTGAAAGCAAAAATGCCTTTCTGGCAGAGACTCTGCTCTCCTATCATAGAAAGTTCTATTATGATTGAAACTGTTGAAATGGATGGGGCTTTCTGGATATTATTGTCCTTGTCCACTCAACTTTTTGAACTTAATAATAAGAATAATATCTTTACTTTTACAAATGCAATGTTCGAGGTTATAGGAGCCTAGCTGACATCAATGGATTTACTCACTGTTAGATATATAGAAGAAGCTCTTGTATGCAGAGCATTTTCCTGCAAATTACGTAATTCCGCGGGTTGTTTGACGCTGTTTCATTTGAGTTTTTTCCAATAAAATGTTTCCAAAACCAGCCTGCATACTATAAAAACTGAAGGTTCAGTGACAGGAGCTTTGAGTTTTGGATGTATAGCTCTGTCCCGTTTGCGTCCAATGTCAAGCCCATTGAAACTAAAACAAGTCTTCGAGTAAGCCTGCAAAAATACAGTAGGTCAGTTTTGTCCCAGGATGTGACCCACACCAGTTGGATAATACCAGGGTACCCATTTTACTGCGTGGGTGAATGCCGGAAACTACCAGTGTGTAAGGAAAAACAAGCCTGATGCTTTCACTATCCTTGCCAGGAATTGAAACCCTGACCATACGCATGTGAAGCATCTAGAGCTTTGATACCAAGGCATGGGCCACACCTTCTTGAAACTTGTGTTAGAGTCTGCATCTCTGAGGAGGTTAGGTTATTGGAAAACTTCAAAATGGTGGCATTTTTGATGGGGACTCAAGGAGGTTTTTACCAAGATTCCCTGTTATCTCTGTCATTGAGGAGTTAGGAGAGAGAGAGCAGCACAAAATACCAGGGAAGCACTGGGCCTTCGGCGATGTTAGGGCCACATTCTAGAAACTTTTGTCAGGGTTTCCTCAGAGATGCACTCTTTTTATGGTACATCTTATAGATAATAACCTTACCTCTGTCATCTCATCAGTTACCTGGCATTGCTATGTTGATGACCTTCAGAGGAAGTCCAACTAGGTTCAGCCTTCCATACTCTCTTGCTATATATGCACCCCTCTCTTTCCTGCTGGTTTCATATTAATAGTTTACAATACTGACATGAGAGGTTGTTGAGGTGGTTTGGTCATTTAGAGAAGATAGGGCAAAATAGGATGACTTGGAGGGTGTTTAAAATCTGTAGTGGATGGAAAAATAAGGACGGGTTGCAGGGTTTTGTCTAGGAAGAGGTTGACACTAGGAGGGGGGTTAAAGGAGATTTTGTCTTGTGTAGAGGGGGGTTGGACATACAGCAGGAGGCTTGTAGTGAGCATGTTAGATGGGGAGAATGGAGAGGGCAATGATTTTTGGGACTTGATAAACAGTTGGGAGTGCAGTAGGGTAATTATTTTATGAAGGGATTCAGGGGGGAAACTGGTGTAACCAGAATCTTGAGTCCTGGATGGTGGGAAGAAAAGTAGTACAATGCCTGCACTCTAAAAGGAGGGAGTCAAGCAGTTTGGGATTAATGGTCTGTGTTTGGCCAGTAACATCTAAACTGTTCATACTGTTGCACCTTGGTAAGACAGTGTAGTATGAATTGATGTGAATGAATGTGAAAGTTGTTTCTTTGGGTCTCCTGCGCTGATTGGGTCGACGAACCTATCGCATATTAACAAAAAATAAATTTTTTTAACAGGATAAGTTAGAATAAGCAAAGTGAATTTGATTATGTCATGCGTAAGTTCGAATATAGCGTATACAAACATTGCTATGACTTAAAACTATAATATGTGATTTTATTGAACTTTTGTCTTAGCTCTTTATTTTTCTATTAGTGTTGTAACTCGGTTTAGATATAGAAAGTTGAAATGTGAAGCATAGAAAAGAGTAAGGTGGATGAGGGGTCGCACAAATGATTTCTCGATAGATTAAGAATTGGATATCAATTGGGGAGGAGGAGTATGGAAGAGTGAATGTTTCAGATACTATCTTGGGATGTTGACATTTCGGCCGCGGCATATTGATTTATTTGTAAGGACGAGGTTAAATCATAGAATTGATGAAGAAAAAAGGTGTGGGGTGTTCCCCCAAGGTGTAGGTGTCTTGTGTTGAGGTATATGTGGGACGACTAAAAAACATTATCTATGGAGAGCAAAGAAAGGGAATGCTATGAAAGTTGACAGTTATAGTACCAAAACACTCACATTATATGGGTGTGAAGCTTGGGTTGTAAATGCTTAATTCCACTCTGTGTACCAAGGAGGCGGTTTGGGAAGGCGAGTGGAGATGTCTGTTTTAAAGGAGATCCAATGTGTGGTGTAAAATATTATGCAGAAAATTCAGAGCTGTGGAAATTAGGAGGTTGTGTAGATTAATAAAAGTAAAATTTTTTAGTCAGAGGGCTCTAATGAGAACGGGAGTTGTTGCTGGGTGTGCGCTATTGGTCATTTAGAGAGATAATGGATCAGTAAGTAGATTGATCATGTGAGCGAATAGAGCGTTATAAATCTGTAGGGGAATGGGGGAAGTGCAGGGGTAGGGGTCGTCCTTGAAAAGTTTGGAACGGGAGAATAGGGAGTGGGGTAAAGGGGTTTTTTGGGCGAAGGCTTGGTCTTCCAGCAATGCCATGCAAAATAGAGCGTCGTTTAGATTGGACGTGAATGGAGACGAATGGTATTTGTGACCTCCTTGACGAGATGTTGGAGTGTGAGTAGGGTAATATTTAGTGAAGGGATTCAGGGAAACCGGTTATTTTTATATAGCTGGACTTGAGTCCTGGAAATGGGAAGTACAGTGTTGCCTGCACTTTAAAGGAGGGGTTTGGGATATTGGCAGTTTGGAGGGATATGTTGTGTATCTTTATACGTATATACTTCTAAACTGTTCTATTCTGAGCACCTCTGCAAAAACAGTGATTGTGTGAGTGAGGTGAAAGTGTTGAATAATGATGAAAGTATTTTCTTTTTGGGGATTTTTTCTTTCTTTTTGGGTCACCCTACCTCAGTGGGAGACAGCCGACTTGTTAAAAAAAAAAAGATTCTTACAGCTAAGTTTATCCATTTTCCCCTTATATTTTAGTGATTCAAATCAAATTAGATTTTTGTGCCGTTCGATGAATTGATTATGAGTTTTTTGTGAAGTCAGTTTTGAGGGAAAATTATATGAAATGAGATGTAGTGTATCCCAGGAAAAGAATGTATTGTGTACAGCCAGGTTTCAATTAGTGCAAATTCCAATTTAGTGCCAAATTAATAAATGCTAGTTTTTCCCCAAATTCTTCAAATATTGCACAAAAATTATATATATAATTCGAATAGTGTGAATTTGAGTAATGTGGCCACTTCACGGGGTTCATTATTCACACTAATGGAGACCTGGCAGTATTATTTATCATGTATTAACTGGTTAAATACCTTCTCAGGTACACTAGTGTCCGAGGGGACAAGGTTGACATCCTTTACAATAACATCAAGAACGCGTTCTTCCAGCCTTGTGAGGGTGAGATGATTATTCTTCTGCATTTCCATCTTCGGGTAAGTTGCATTACGCTTGCAGGTTGGTTTGTCATCGAGTAATCTTTAACCCTTAAACGGTCCAAACAGATTGACGTTCAGATTTGTAGTGCTACAAAAGTAGATCTACTTTTTTTTGCATATTTTCAAATATAACAAAAAAATGTAGATAAAAGTTTTTTACATGTTTTCAAATGTAAAACAAAAAAGATGTTGAAAAAACGTATATGTACGTTTGGACCATTTAAGGGTTAACTGTAGTGTCAATATGCCTGTGGCAAGACTGAGTGAGTGATGATGAATGTGTTTCTTCCTTTTTGGGTCATTCTGCCTTGGTGGGAAACAGCTAATGTGTTAAAAAATCAAGCATGTATATGAAGAACAAAAAGGCACAGTAAAGTGACTGGAGCAATACACAAATAACCGGCACATAGTAAAGAGAAGCTTGTGATGATGGTTATTTTAACACACACTCCTTTTCTATTCTTGTCCCACCAACCACTCTCCCTACTTTACACTTCCATCACTACTACTACTACTACTTTCTCTACCTGTCTTACCACTACTACTACCACTACCTGCCTTACCACTACTACTACCACTACCTGCCTTGCCACTACTACTACTACCAGGACAAGCTATTAAGATGACTCTTTAATGTTACTGGTAATGGATTGGCTGTGATAAAAAGAATAGAGTTCGTCTATCCTATTTGGTCACTTTTATTGGGTCATATACTACTAATTCTCACCTCCAGAACTGTAACATCCTCACTCATCCTTCAGAACTGTAATATCCTCACTCATCCTTCAGAACTGTAAGATCCTCACTCATCCTTCAGAACTGTAACATCCTCACTCATCCTTCAGAACTGTAACATCCTCACTCATCCTTCAGAACTGTAACATCATCACTCATCCTTCAGAACTGTAACATCCTCACTCATCCTTCAGAATTGTAACATCCTCACTCATCCTTCAGAATTGTAACTTCCTCACTCATCCTTCAGAACTGTAACATCTTCACTCATCCTTCAGAACTGTAACATCCTCACTCATCCTTCAGACTTGTAACATCCTCACTCATCCTTCAGAACTGTAACATCCTCAATCATCCTTCAGAATTGTAACATCCTCACTCATCCTTCAGAA